CCTGGCACAGCCTTTGTCTTTTGCTTTCTGGTGGCATGCGTGCTCTTCTGCTTCTAAAGTGAATTGATCCTGAGTTTCCACCTAGCAATCCTCAGTCACTTGGGAGTCACAAGACTAGGGCCCTGTTTGATTTTGTGACAATACAACTTTACCCATCCCATCTCTGCCCCTTCCAAAAGAGCTATAAGATATACTTTTTTTTCTGAACATGAGTAAATTAAAACAGACATGTTCTTCAGTTTTTGCCATGACATGTTGGAAATTCTTTAGATGCTCAAACTCCAGGAAAAAATAATTGGCGTGTTCTGTCGGTAAGGAATCAAGAGGCTGTTTTAGAAGTAGCCAATTGTTAAACTGAATTCAGCAACCTCAAAGTGGCAGAATGACAAGCACAGAAGGGACAGATGGAAAAGGTATTACACAGGGCAAATCAACAGGGTTTGAAGATTAATTGCGTATTGGGCTGAGAAATATGGAACAAATATAATTCCAAATGCTTGAACATCAGTGACTGATAACTTAACAGTACCAGTTCCATAAGTAGGAAAGGCCTTTTTTTCTATTAAATAATGCCCGAACTTCTTTGTAAGCCCTTTAAGGCCCTTCCTGATGGCAACCCACCTGTTCTACTCCACTCTTCTGTCACTGGAGCTACCAAACAGTGCATGTTCTCCTACCATGCCATGCACCTTCATGTTTTCCCTCATATGTCCCCTCTCCCTGACATGTCACTTAAGGCCCTCTGTCCCTCCCTACTGCTTACTGCACAGAATCATTCTTTATAGCCCCGTCCCCTCTGAGGCCTTCCCCAGTTCTCTTAGTCAGAATTACTTGGGGTTTCACCACAGTCATTTACTTATTTCACCAGAGCACTTTGTTTCTGTCTCTAGCACAGAAAAATCATGGTCTCATTCCTCCCATAGTAGTTGTACACATGGGCCACCTCTCCCTTTGATGACCAGTTCCTCACAAAGCAGAGACCTTCTCTCTTTCTTCTATAATATGTACCTCTCCACTTGTCATACACTGCCTGCTTGTAGGATCACTCAACAATTGTATGTGGAAGGAAACGGAAGTCACAGCATTATTTGGGAAGATTACTTTTTAGCTATGATGATCAATTTGAAGGAACAAAAAGAATTCTACATAAAAATGTGTTTGGGCAATTTCAGATGCCGGACTCTACTCAGGCAGGAAGATGAGGGCTCGGGGGAGAAAGTCTGGGTTCATCTTTATAGATTATGTTCATTGGGACCATGAAAATGGAAGTTCTTTGCAGAGCGCTGAGAGTGGAGCCTGAAAAGGCAGCTACCTTTTTTTTTTTTTTAATTTTAATTTTTTTTAGCCGAGCCATCCTGCTACCTGTTGGCAGCTCAGCGGCAGCTCAGCTCGGGCCGGGCATCGAAATGCTGTTGCTCAGAGCTCAAACTCTTGAGCGACCTCTTAACCAACTGAGCCACTTGGCCAGCTTCAGCAGCTACCTTTTGAGGCAGGAGAATATGATAGGAAAACAAAGTCTAACGTTACTTCCTCAAATCAATAAGACAGCCAAGGAGAAGTAGAATAAATGGCATTTATAATGCAAATAGGATCAAGAAGCAGCACTGTTCAGCCATGTGGTGAAGAAGCCAAGGAGGATAAGGCCTGAGTTGGTCATTAGATTTGGAGCTTAGTCAAAAGCAAATTGACTGACTCTCTTCTTTGCCCACAGCAGAAACCAGCTTACTCTATGGCACCAGTCAATCCTACTGTTAAGCAAGGGGGTTGTGGGGATGCAAAGCTGCCACTCTAGTCTGAAGGCTAATATGACGTGACTTTGGGTTCTGGTTCTGATAACAGGGCTTCTGCGCATTGCCAAGGCTCAGTCCTCAACCACTGCCTCAGTTCTTATTCCTCGACTCCCGTCTTGAACTTCACCTTTACTCTCTGTCTTGATAAACCTGCCCTCCTCTTGCCGTTTTCCTCCCTCCTGGAGTTCTTTTCCCAAACTCAGTCCCAACAACAGTCATGCTACCTGGTGTCAGACCTGCCTGATGGCAACTTCCTGCAGCCTGGAGACCTGTGATTCCGCCATCTTTGACCATCATTGACTTGGCCTGTTGGGGCACTTCCATTATGTTCTGCTCAAGCTCCCTATCCCTGGCTGTTTTTCTAGACTGAAAAGGTCAGCCGGGGAAGTCAGGCATGCAGCAGGGTAAGGGTTGGGAATAACAGGGTTGTTAGCCCAAATGGTCAGGAGCAGGAAGAGTTCGGATGTGAGCAGACAGAGTGCCCAAAGGGTAAAATACACGAGCTCAAGAACCACGGAGGGGTCTAAGGGATGAGAACAGGAGACACAAATCCCAGGAGATAAAAAGGAAGTAGCCATCAGAATTCAACAACAACAGAATTATCACTGGGTATTGCGATGACTAGACTCTTACTCGTCAGCCGCTAGTTACCTGATGCCTGGTTGCATTCATTTTATTGGAATTCAGATCACGGGGCACAGAGCTCCTTACTTTGTGGTTCTCATCCACCACGTCCTGTCTGCCAGACTCAGCACCCTCCTTGCACTCGAACCCAGACAGTGCGCTTCAAACCATTTTAACCGGGGAGGCAGATGTGATTGTAAGATCTTCTTCCTGGATGTCTCCTATCCCTTTCATCTGGCAGTGCCTTTCTCAAATCCCCAAGGTTTAGTAGTAAGTGAACGGGGACAAAGGTACAGGTTAATTTTTGAAAAGGTTGGCAGAGAAAAGGAAGTAGCGTAGTGCTTGCTTTCCCTTAGCCATATTTACTCTATTGCTCTCATCTTTTTAAAGAAAACTCTTCTTTCAAGGTTCACGTGACTGCACATCTACTATGTGGAAAGTGCTTTGTATCAATAGTGCTCAAGGAAGAATACAAAGAAATGTGAGATATGATGCCTGTCCGAAAATGCAGAATCAGTGATACCTGATAACGACGAGCATTTCTAGCCCCATAAAGAATTATTTTGAGTATTATATCTACCAATGAGCATAATTCTTTCATCCCTTATTTAGTAGCAGGTTCCTTTTTTTTTTTTTCCTGATGGTCATCTGATACCACAATTTTTATTCTAGGCTATTCACATAGCTTTACACTGGGATGAAAACACTGACGTGATTACAGGATTAAAGCAGAAGACCTTCTATGGAAGACCCAACTGGAACAATGAGTTCCGGCAGATAGCCTACAACCACCCCAGGTAAGGCACTCCCTTTCCTCTGCCTGCCGAGCGCCTCCCTGGAGAGACAGGTGGCCGCTGAAATGGCAGGCTCTTGGGCACGAGCTGGTTAGTGTGCAGGAGTGGGCATCCTGTTTAGCGATAAAATGTCGACCTTAGGAAAGGTGGTCATGGGTATTTCGGGAACCACAATCTCTGCTTGACTGGCTTATAACATCTGACAATTAGCGATTACATTGAAACTTTCACACCTCAACTCAGCTAAAGATAGTATTTCTTAAACTACCTATGTTTTCAAGAAAATTTGGGTGAACAAAGGTGACCTGTAATCACCCGACTGGAGAAGTCACCTATGTCCAACTGTAAACTGCATGTAGCATGTCTGGCACAGCAGACAGAAAATGTTATAAAAGCAGAGATTTGGGCTTGGTGGGTAAACACCAGGGCCTGAGCCCCAGTGCCTGGGTGTGAACTCCGGCTCTGCCCTTACCACCAGTTCTCCTGGACAGGTGATTTATCCTGCCGTGGACTTAGTCGCCTTCTCTGGAAACTGCAGACAATAGTAGTGCTTACCGCCTAGGCTTCTGTGAGGATGAAATGTGTGAATATGCATAAAGTGCCTACAACAGACTTTGAATTCAGTAAATGTTAGCTGCTATCATTATTATTATCATTTCAGTTATTACTATAATTACCATCATTATATAATAAACTTCTATGGAGAAGAGGATGAGCATTTGTTCTAGGACCAAAAGATGGGGGTGAAGGCTGTGCTTTCTGATTCTAGAAGCTACCAGTTGTGTAACTTTAGCTTGTTCAAGCTTTGGGGCTCCATTGTAAAACGTGGATGATACCATGCGGTCAGGACTGTGTTTATAATTAAACAAACAAACAAACATAGCATGTTGAAGTGCTCGCTAAAGTGTAAAGCACTAATGCAAACATTTGTCATTGTTATTATGTGTCCCCTAAATCAGTCTTTGTTTTGAACCTCCATTGTCTATGGCTCTTGAAAGTCAGTATGTCTTCATATTGTTTTTGTTTAAGAATACTTTCCATCATTGAGCAAAGACCTGAAGGAAACAAGGCAGTGTGCCATGTGGACAAACAGGAAAGAGGAGGGTAGCACATGCCCGGGCCCTGGGACAGGAGACACCGTTCCTGGCATGAGCCAAGAGGCCAGTGAGGTTGGAACAGAGCAGGTGAAAGGGAGGGTAACAGGAGAGGGCATTTAGGAGAGGTAACTGGGGGACAGGCTCAGGTCATTATAAGACTGTAGATTTTATGCTGAGAAGGGAAACCACTGAAAGGTTTGAGCAGAAGAGTGACGTGATCAATCTCGTGTTTAATGTGATGGCTTCTGGCTGCTGTGAGAGAATAGACTGTACGCATTCTAAGGCAGACGTGAGGAGCCCAGCAAGGAAGACAGCAGTGGTGGGAGCTTGGATTAGGAGCAGTGGAGGTGTTGAGAAGCAATTCGATTCTGGATATTTTTTGAAGGTATAGCTGGCATGACTTGCTGATGGTTTGGATGGGAGGCGGGCATGGCTCAAGCTAGAATGGACTTACCACTTACTGATATGCGGATGGCTGTAAGAAGAACTGGTTGGCAGGCACTGAATATCAGGGGTTCTGTTTTTTGATATGTTTAGCTTAAGATGTCTGTTATGCATCAGATGTTGAGTAGGCAGATGAATATGAGTCTGGAGTTTAGGGGGGATGTTCAGGCTGGAGATATGTACTTAGGAGGTATCGGCATTGGGAGATGTCAGCATATAAAATGTGTTTGGAACCGTGAAACTGGATGAGGTCACCGAAGAAGCAAGTACAGGTTGACAGGAGTTCAAGAACCACGATATTTGGAGGAGAGGGCAACATAGTCTCCATCCGCAGGTTACAGGCTTTAATATCTCTATTACTCACAGCTGTCATTAATCACGTCCTTTAGGTCTTCTATACCCTGACTTTTTTTCTGTCCACTTTATCAGTATTGAACCATAAAGAGTAAATTAAAATCTACTGGGGCATTTCTGACTAATTCCTGTGGTTTCCCTATCATCTTGCCATCTCTCCACTCCATGTTGGTATTGCTGCTTTGTGGGCTTCCTTCATAGAGCTCATTGTTTCATTAAACATTTTGTAATTCTCTGGTATTTTTTATGCTCTATGGAAAACTTTTCTGGTGAATATTATTCATCTTTTGGCCAGTGTGGCTGCTCTTCTTTGCATTTTTTCTTATATTCTCATTGTGTCACAACTCTCCCACTTTCTTTTATATTGTCATTGAACTTGTTAGACTTCCCTGCAGTAGCTATAGGACAGAGGTTTGGTGAGGAGGGAGGTGTGGAAGGAGTAACCAGGTAGCATCCAAAGTTCATAACCCGGGCCATTCCAGTGGCACCTTTCACTCCAACTGAAAACGCCCCATGCTCCCTGATACTCCTGCCAACCCCTTCCACAGCCTGTGCCCCGGCAGCCTGCCCAGGAAAACCTGGACTTAAAACAAGAGTATTCACTGTGCGGACTCTGGACTCCTGACCACACCATGTTCGCACCAGCCCAGGGGAGAGTTAGTTGGAAGGAGTACTTGTAGGGACTTATTCCCGACCTTGAATTGTCCTGAGAATAAAAGACTTCCAAGAAAGGTCAAGAAATCTTAACTTTTGCCTTCAGGGCTAAGGGAGGGAGGGAGTGGACCAGCTGCACAATCACTTCCCCTTTTGGGCTCAGCATTAGGTGACCTTAAGAGCCAGCCAAGCCCCACAGCAAGTGGCCTTGGGACTCTCCCGGCACCACTCCAGAAACCCATTTGCTCCATTTTGCCTCTTTCCTTGACTCTTGCGGACACTTGACCTAGAATCCAGTTCTAACTCCCTATCTTCTCTCCAAACGTGGTGCTTTGAGCCCATCCTGGCTCCTGGAGCTTGAGAATCTGGTTCCTATGTGCATCCTCCTCAGCACCCAGTCCTGATCCTAACCCCCTAGCCCGCCCCCTCTGAGCCCTGAAAGCCATCACCCTTCATCTCAAAACCACGGGGTATTTGTCCAGAGGAAGAGACTGGATCATTTTATCTGTGGTTTCCTTAAAAAGTTTATAGGTACAAAACTAACAAAAGGTTACAAGCTCATATGTTACAGCCACAACCAGGTTTTTTATTGCTATTTTCTCCTTTTTGAAAAAAAAAGTATATTCATCTAATAAATGTATTATGCTCAGTTTTCAATGATCGTGGGATGAATGTTCCTATGTTGCAGGCTTTTGATGCAGATACATCTTGGTTTTAAGTTCTTATAGATAGGATCACTCTTCATTATGATTTTCATTTATTGATATCTCACACTGAATTTGTTGATTTTTGCGACACATGAAGTTTGCAGCCCTTTGGGGAAGACCTTCCAAGCCAAACCATTTAATTATCTCCATTCCCCTGGAAAGGTGTGAGTCATAAACAGAGCATCAAGAGACAGAGAGTGAAACTGAGTTTGCATAAACTCTGCCCCCAAAATTATGTTGTATAGGTGCTGAGAAGTGAGTCTGTCCATTTTGCAGGAAGTAAGGAATAGTGAACAGTTGGACGGTAGGAACGCGATATGGGTGTCACTTTTCTTGTTGCCCGTGAGGAGCGTGTTGATTCCTTTTTAGAAGCCAAAAGCAACGTTTACTTCATCAATGTACTTAAAGCCCAGCTGAATTTTTTAGCACAGTAGCGACATAAACTGTCTTCCTGGTGGAGGACTTCATCTTTTCCATAGTATAAGAGGCCCCCAAGGCTTGATGTCACGGACTCAATCAAGCCTCTGCAGCGGTTCTCAACCTTTCACAGGGGTCACCTAAGACCATCGGAAAACACATATTTTCGATGGTCTTAGGAACCGAGACACCGCTCCTCCATCTGTCTCCAGGCCCACATGCAGATACGCCCACATACGAATACCTGGCGACCCCTGTGAAAGGGTCATTTGACCCCCAACGGGGTCACGACCCACAGGTTGAGAACCGCTGCTCTACAGTGTACTTCCTAGGCCCAAATTTTTTAAATGGCCTATTTGTAATAGCCTTAGATTCTAGAATACTGCAACTTGTTATATAGCTTCTACTATCAATTAATATTAGACACGTGTAGGCAGAGCTCAATTATCATTCTGTCCCTGGAATGCCAGCTCCCTGGGAACAGACGAGTTGCCAATCACAAGCTTAGCACCACCCTCCCAAAAGACTTTTAAAATGACCTCCTTAAAATAATTTTGTTTTCTGCTGTGCAAAAGAAGATTTATGTTTAATGAAGCTTTTAATGAAGAAATCTCGGAAAGAGAATGCCAATAAAATCTAATTTTTAAACAAGAAAATTTAATATGGAGAAGTATTTCAATATCCTGGCCTTTGTCCAGATATAGATGAAACACACAATCCAATTACGGTTCGGCACAAAGGACAAAGTAACATTAATTTTCCTCAAGATGGTTATTAAAGAGATAAACAGTATGTTTCCCCCTGATTATGTCAAGGATGTGTTTGTTCCCCAGCCTACTTGGCTAGTCTTACAAGACAGGCCTGTTCTGTCATTAGCTCATATCTTTTGGCAAAGATAGGTCAGAAAGAATTGGTGGGTTTGTTAGTGGCCTCAAAAGACTTTCTTTGTTCTTGAGAACCTTTGAAGTGGGCCCTCAACCATTTCTATTCATCAACGAGAAGCCAAGGATTCTTAGGGCTTACTCTTTTAAAAACATTTACCTGTTCGCTCAAAGCTGGAGTTGGTTCTTGTTCTAAAAAGAAGGAGTTAAGTCAAAAGAATAAAGGGAAGAGGGGCAAAAACTATTTTTTTATGGAACATGAAAAACAGCACCAGAAATAAAGCTTGAAGGGAAGCAGATCAAAGAGAATAGTGCAAGCTATAAAGGAACCAGAAAATTGCAAAAATAACAGTAATAGAGAAACAAATTGATGGACATCAAAATGAATACAAATAAGGAATGGGGAAGAAAAAAATTAAACAGAGATCAAAGACTGAAAGTTGAAAATG